GAGTCCTACGCAGTTTGAGTCATCATCCGTGTCAACCTTTTGCCCACTGATGATCTTGTAGAATGCTCTTCTGTGTTCGCCAAACCTTACCCGTAGCATTCTGGTGGATTTGCCTACGTATGGTTTCTCACACAGTTTACATCTGATCAAATATATGATGTTGTAAGTGATGCATGTACCTGGTGCTGGTTTTACCCGTTTCCCATTGATGCTGATTTGTGTAGCACTATCAATAGACTCACACGTTGCACAGTTCTTCTTTCTACACGGCCTTGTTTGACCATGCTTATTCCCCAGAGCTATTTCTTTCACCTTAACCAACCGGCTTTTGAGGTTGCTTCCTGTTTTCTTGACAAATTGGAAGAACTTTTTGCCATTCTTCTTTTCTTCAAGGGTGTTACTCTGTTGTTTTGAGTCACTCAGGTTACAAAAACTTCTGGTCTTCTTTAAGTTCTCCTCATACTTTTTCACTGTGGTGACAATGTCAGAGTCACTTCCGTAGGTTGAGACAACCCTTATTGGTAGGATCTCTGGCTTCAGTGTGTTGTCCTTGGGAGGTCTTCGTTCAAGGTTTCTTTCTGAGTTGAGAACTTTTTTGCTAATGTTGTTCACCATTTTTGAGGGATAAGCAGCTGCCTTGAATGCTTGGCTTAATTCACTCAATCTGGTTTCCAGTCGTTCTTGTGAGTTGATTATTCTCCTGAGTCTGATACACTGGCTGTAAACTATTCCACTATAAATGTGGTTTGGATGTGCACTGCTAAAATGTAGATAGCTCCTTGAATCTGTTTCCTTGATATGGAGGTCAGTTTGTAAGTTTCCCTCAGGGTCGAAACAAAACTCGATATCTAGAAAAGCCACAGGCGTGCCAACTTCCTTCCATTGGGATTCGTCAATGAGTAGCCCATATTCTTTCAAGGATTTGTTTACATCGGAAATCCACTGGTCAAATTTCCTTTCAGTGCTATAGAAGAAACCTGCACCATCGTCAATGTACCGTCTTACAGTCCTGACTCTCTTCATCATGTCAGTGTTACTGTAAACGCATTTGTTCATTACATAAAATACAGTTATGTTGGCCAACTGCACACACAGACTTCCACCTGTAGGCACTCCGTTCTTTTGGACGTACCACTTGTCTTCGAAGCATCCAATAGAGGATCTTAGACTGATATCCACGAGGTCGACCAGCCAATCACAGAGTGCTGGTGTCCAGTCTGGTCTGGTGGTATTCATTGCATGATGAACGGCTTCCTTGACAAGTTCAGGGTTTAATGAGTCGTAGAGAGCTTTGAAGTCGAAAGTGAAAGCTCGGAGGGCTCGTTTGTCTGTTTCAACTTCATTGCATACTTCAAGCCATCTCAGTGCCTCCGTTGAGTCAGTCAGTAAGTCTTCGCAATAGTCCTTTTCAAGATTTTTGAAGTACTCACTGGCCAAGAAGACATCACTCCTTTTTGCTATTCCTTCCTGTAGTGCAGTGACTAGTCTCACAGGGGGCTCTATGCCTGGCACAAGGTCTTTTCTCTTCAATTTGTGGATCTTCAAACTCGGGTAAAAGTAGGCTTTTCCTGGCTTGAAATATGAAGAAGTGCTCTTTGCATTGGTCTTATCTTTCCCCTCTTTTGTGCTATCATTATCAGAAACACCCATGACACTTTTTGCAGTCATCGGATGGATAAAACCTTTCTCTTTACCTTCAACCCATTTGAGGAATAACTCATGGTGTAATGTTTGGGTGAGATCTTCCTTCAGTTCAGTATAGATATTCGGGTTTTGGAGCTTCTCAAGTGTCTTCTTCCTTAGTGTCTCTGGGTTGATAATGATCACTGCACCTCCTTTATCAGCCTGAACAACGGATAGTTTTCCCTCATTGTTCATGCACTCAAGCCATTTTAGGCCCTCAGTCTCTTCCTTTGACAAGTTCTTCTTTGTGTCGCCTCTTGTAGTTTTCTGAATGGTCAATCTCTGGTCAAGGTCCGCCTCCATACTCTTCACAATATCATTAACACTACTGTCATCTGATGACTGTGATGAATAGTATGATTTTTGGTAGAGTTTTGGTGGTATTTGGGGCAGGTTCGGGGTTTCAAACTGGTCATTGCTGTTAAGTGACTGATTTGAAGACTGAAGGATCCTGTTCGTTGTTAAACGCATGTCCAATCTTGTTCCTTCAACATCAAAAGAGGGTGTAGGTACAAAGCCCAACCCTTTTCCAAGTACACACACAGCCCCGGGTGGGACAGGTTCATTCACAAGGATGACAACACTTCCGTCCTTTATGAGTCTTTTGGCTTCTTTCTCAGTTCGTCTTCTGTTTCATTCATCTTCTGATAATACTAATTTACAAATGGATATAGACTATCTCTCTGACTGGGCACTAAGAAACAAAATGCGATTCCATCCAGCAAAATGTAAAGTGCTTATTGTTTCAGGAAAACCATCTTTATCTCCTCCATTCGCATATAATCTTGATGGCTCTCCTCTTGTGTATGTAGAGTTAGAAAAAGATCTTGGAGTCGATGTTACTCCTAAGTTAAGTTGGAATAGTCAGTGCGACAGAATTTATACTAAGGCCTGCCAACAACTTGGTATGGTCAGAAGAGATGGCCATATTGTCATTGATCAGAAACGTCGCCGGGCGCTTTACCTCTCCCTGGTTCGTAGCCAATTTGAGAATTGTTCCATAATCTGGCGCCCTTGTAATAAATCACTTAGTGATAAATTAGAAAGTCTCCAAAAGAGAGCTATTAAATGGATTCTGTCTGAAGAGGGCCGCAGTTATCCACCTGAGCAATATGTCAAAAAGTGCAAGCTTGTCGACATTCTCCCTTTGTCTCAAAAGTTTGACTTGAATGATCTTATTTTTTTCCACAAAGTTCTTAACAATTTAATTCCTGTATCGCTGCCTCACTATCTCTCTCTCTATATCAGGGCACTTCTCGACTAAGACGTTGCCACCTCGACAGTCTGTCTATTGTGTCATCAATTTTACCTAAGTTAAGTCAGAATTCACACACCACATGTACCTCAAATAGCCCACTGGCAAAATCATTTTTCTACAGAACCCATATACTGTGGAATGGACTCCCTTTACAGGTAAGACAGATTGTGTCTACTAGTCTTTTCAAAGCTGAGGTCACTAAGCATCTATGGAAATGTTTATTGGATAGTGAAACAACAGTCTAGCCTAGTCTCTTTGCTCCCCATATTATTATTATTTTTGTTTTATTAATTTTTCTATCTACCTTCCTATACTTTCAACATCATATCACACTTCACCCGCACACCTTCTCACACATTAATGACCATTTCAGACCTGTATCTAATGTATCTGGAATTTGACGTATTGAAATACCAATTTTGACTCTATATCCACAGTTATTCACCATGGATTTGTTTGTTCTTAAATAGTTTTTCATAAATTTTTGGATTTAGATTAATTCGATGTAATGGGTCCAAGTTACTGCGGACATAGTTCACTATGTGTTTACCGTGTTTGGGTGCCCATCATATTTTACAGATGGGGGCGATATTTTGAACGATTCTATTTTATATTCATCTATTGCTGTACTCTGTAAAATTTGAAAAGTATTTAATAAAAAAAAAAAAAAAAAATGAGGTGAAATTAAGTATAAGCTGTATTTTGGAAACACATGGTTCAGCATCTCAAACATCAAAACCAATAATTTGTTATCTGACAAACAACATGGCTTCAGATCGAACAGAAGCTGCTTGACCCAAATGCTCAATCACTTTGACGACATCTTTGAAGGTTTTACTCAGGGAAAAGACACAGACTCCATATAGTTATACCTCGAATTCGCTAAGGCTTTTGACGAAGTTGACTTGCGGACCTTCTCTTGTCACTTGTTAAAGTTAAAGAGATACGGTTTTCATGGCAAACTTCCAAGCTGGATCCAGTCATTTGTTAGTGTGTTATGACCACTATTGTTCATTTTGTTTATTTACGATCTAGAGCTAGCTGTTACCTCTTTTAAGGTAAGCTTCTTTGCTGACGATACTAGGGTATCCAAACGTATCGATTGCTTTGAGGACTGTCTGCTGCTTCAGGCTGATCTGCACGGTATTCTCGACTGGTCACGCTGCAACAAAATGAAGCTACACGAACAGAAGTTTGAGCTCCTGAATCATCTCCACAACAGAAAGAGCCACTTTTCTGAACTCCTTTTTAACGCGCAAACTCTACTTTACAAGGTCTCCAGCGAGGACATACTACATCCCGTTGAGAACGTTAGGGGCCTCGGAGTTATGGTATCAAGCGATCTGAACTGGTCCAAACAAATCGTTAATATGGTCAAAAATCTAGAAGCACACTTTCGTGGGTGTTTAGTGTCTTCAAAACTCGTGATAGGATCGTAATGACTACCCTATATAAGTCTTTGGTCAAAAGCCTACTAGAGTACTGTTGTCCGCTGTGGGAACCTGTTAAGGTGACTGAGATCCAGCTTTTGGAGGGGGTCCAGCGAACATTCACTGATCGTATATGCGGTCTGGAAAATATGAACTAATGCATGTGGGAGAGGCTTTCACATCTAAAGCTGATGTCACTACAGCGCAGAAGGGAACGTTATACCATTCTGATGATGTAAAAGATCCTTCACAATGTTGTTCCCAATTGCAACAATATTAGGTTCACAAAAACATCCAGACATGGTACCCGAGCAATCATCCCTTTACTGTCTAGGTTGAGTTCCTTGAGCAACCAGACACTCTATGATAGCTCATTTACTGTAAGCTAAGAGGAGCAAAACTATGGAACAATGTGCCTGACATTATTAAAGCTGAAGCTACGTTTGAGTCGTTTAAAGTTAGTTTGTTGCTTTGATACCGGACAACCCTCCGATTTCCGGTTAATGTTATAGCTGTAGCTGGTCTAATTCCCTAGTAGACTACTCGCCATCGAGGTGGCCAGAAATCTGATGACCCTTCCTGCTACGAGGATAAACTCCACCAAAGTAACCAAAGTAACCAAAGTAAATAAGTACATCGACAATTTGACCATTGCAACATTTAAACACTAACAGAGATATCTAAAGAAAAGTCAAAGTGTAACTTATTAGCTATCGTCCATAGCTAATAGTAATATAAATAAGAAGTGACCACTGCTGAGAGCCTTAAGTACCACAAGATCAAGCTCGCGAACATTGACACCTTCTAATTGGACACTCTGTAGTCTGTACGGTCCCTAACTAGTATGCAAAATGGCAATTTAAAAGTCTGGAAATTTTTGTGCGGTTCGTCCTGATATAAATTAGATAATATTATGTATTATATAACTTTATTCAAATCAAAAATAGAACATAAGTGAACATCTTAAAGTCTTTAAGTTAAAGATCTGATAAGTAGCCAGGAAAAAAATACTGAAACACAAGTAATACAAATTTCTTCCATCCCGCTCTATCAGTATCAGAGGCTATAAGTCTTAAACTGTACAAATCGAGTTCGACTGTATTTACAAATGGAATGTTCCTACTTCCTATACTACCTAAATCAGATTTAATAGTCCTAAGTAAGTTCGACTGGTGTCTGCCTACGCTACCCTTTTAGTACTCTGACTCTCTACTTCAAAGTGTAATGCAAGCTCTGCAGGTGAGCTGTTGTTATCGCTGCGAAGGACATGTCCGACCATCCTCCATCATCCTTACAAAGCTGAGTCATTAATATGATTGGAATTTGTTCAAATTTTCTAATAAATTAACAAAACATAATGGTCTAATTAAAAATAAATAAAAGTTACCATAACTAGAAGAGCATCATGTAGCAAACGAATACTGCAGCTAGGTATTGAAAAGCAGATCTAGATCGCAAATTGGCAGTGTTTACTGTCTCTGAAAAGTTGATAAGAAGATTATATCGGATCGATTTGGAAGGGATGCGATTGATTCATAATCATATTAAACATACCAATTACCTTACACAGGACTTTATTTGAACGAACACTAATTGGACGCTGGGGGCCGAAGCGTGTATTTTAATGACTGTTTAAATAAAGTCTGCCCTTTTAAAGTTTGTCCAAGTACAGTCTGTTCAAATTTGTTTCCAAACGTATTCCACTACGAACTTATAGTTATTGTCCAGGATATGGTTACTTTTTAATTTTGCCTATCAACATTTTATTGCTTAACGGATTTTTTGCTTACAGTTACACTTACTGTACTAAAAAATCTATCAAAAATTATTTTGTATTTGCTAAATTGTAAATAAAATTGGAAAATACGCCAAAAATTGATTTTTAATGGTTTTGAATGCCTTCGATCGTTAATTTTAATTATCAATTATATTATATATAGTTGTAAAAAATGTCCGATTAGGTAAATTAAAGCGCTTTCATTAATTCGCTCGCCTCAATCATCAATTAAAAATTATTGCAAAAAGACCCTGGGGGTATGAAAGTAATTTGAGTAGGTTTTAAGTGTATTTTTGGACACTGATTCCAAATCATCCCCCATGACGTTATAGCCGTAGGGTAAAAATTTGTAGGTGTATAACCTACCAGTACCAGTACCAGGGCGCGCGCCGAAACAAATATTTTACGAGTATCACCCGTTAAATGCTTTCCTGTACTACTGGAGAGTTATGGAAAAAACTGTTTTGAGGTCACGTGACAGGTTGAGGTTAGTTTAAGTTAAACATGTATTCGATTGATTCAGTTTAGAGTTAGGGATATGGGAACGTTAGGGTTGTGGTTAGGCTAGCTTATCATGGATAGCTAATTCGCGGTTATGGTTTGGGTTAGGGTTGTACTTGTATAACGTCGTGACCCCCATCGTCGTTTCAATTAGTGTCCCCAGCCCCAGTATCGCGGCGGGCCTACAAAGTATACTTATAGCAAGGTTAGGCATTAGGATTTGGATTAGGGTTTATGGAAAACCGTTAATTTTGAATTTGTTCGGCTGCAAAATCATAAACAATAAAAAACCAAAGTCGCGTAATAACTTAAATTTAATTAAGGCGAGCCAAATCAAAAGCACATCAGGCTTAATATATTAATTATAATATAATATAATTATATAGCGCAGGCTAGTCAGAATCATGCACCGGAAAGCCAGAAAACACAAAACAGATCACTTCTGGAACCTCTACAGAACCGGACTTAAAGACTACAAAAACATCATCAGGACAGCTAAAAGATCTAGCTGGAAAAACTACGTGAACAAAATTTCTAGCATACCCTCAGCAGCTAGACTCCATAAAGTCATGAAATCACTGAACACTAATCCCGGACAACTAGGATCCCTTAAAAAACCGAACGGCAGCTTCACATCATCTCCAAGAGAAACCCTAGATACGCTAGCTGAAGCTCTCCTCCCCATTGACAACCCGATAGCACACACTCCTATTGACCCAGGCCCAGATCATGACAACATCATCAACTCTCTGATGACGCCTAACAGACTGAAGAAAGTCTGCATGGACATGGCTCCGAACAAATCTCCGGGACCAGACAACATTCGACTCAATATGATTAACGCATGCTGGGATTCTATCTCACCTTGTATTCTTCACCTTTATAAACACTCCCTCCGTTTGGGTATCACACCTGACGACTGGAATGAGGCTAATGGTGTGGTCATCGCCAAACCTCTTAAAGACGACTATACAAATGTGCGAGCATTTCGTATCATCAGCCTTACTTCGACTCTACAGAAGATTATGGAGAAACTGATCATCTGGTACATTGAAGCCGACATTGGACTCTCCAACCTCACTACAGACAACCAACATGGTTTCAAGAGAAACTTCTCTACCGACTCCGCCCTTCACAAGATTACCAACAAAATTGAATTTTCCCTCTCAGCTGGAAATCAAGCCCTAGGACTCTTTTTGGACATTGAAGGAGCCTTCGACAACATCTCTTATGACGCCATCTACTGATCTACCATAACCTCAACAACTCGGGAATTCCCACCACCTTATGCAACTGGATTTACTATATGGTTTCCCATAGAGTTATCACTCTCACCCTTAACGGTATCTCTATTTCTAGAACTATCAGCAGAGGCTGCCCTCAAGGAGGAGTACTCTCGCCATTTCTCTGGAACCTTACTCTTAACGACCTCCTCTCTAACCACAACCTAGACACATCATTCATTCAAGCCTTCGCAGACGACCTCTCCATCATAGTAGGAGGAATAGACATTCCCACCATCAGAGCCATTTGTCAAAGATACCTCATTATCATTGATAATTGGTGCACGACCATCGGCGTAAAACTTAGCTCTCTCAAGACCCAAGCTATCATGTTTACCAGGAAACGAATATGGACGCTTGATAAACCCCTATCTCTTAGAGGCATCAACATTCACCTTGTAAATGAGGTCAAATACCTTGGTATTACCCTTGACTCCAAGCTCCTATGGAGACCCCACATTGATGCCACTTGTAATAGAGCTATCAGAAACCTGCACACCATCAGATCTGCCTGTAGCAAAAAATGGGGACTTAAACCTTCCTACACACTCTGGATCTACGAACAAATCATCATCCCAGCTCTTTCTCATGGATCAGTGGTCTGGAGCCATATACTGGACTCCAGAAAATGGGCTACTAACATGCTCAACCACGTACAAAGAACAGCTCTACTCCTGATCACAGGAGCCATCTCCTCCTCTCCGACCTGTTACTTAGAGGTCCTCACCCAAATCCCCCCTCTCGACCTCAGGATTCACTCCATTTCTCTTAAAACCTTCCTCAGGCTTAACATCACTTCGTCCGCCTCATACGGACTTAGAGACGGAAAGCTGACATCTCACTCGATACTCCTCAATGATCAGCTCAAGAAGATTCTCCCACCTCTTTCCCTTTTAGACATAGCACCAGCATCACTCAACCTGTCACAATCCTTCACAACGGATATTCTCGACCGCTCGGTCGCCCTAGTTCAGATCCCTCTCCTACATAAACCAGACACTCTAGTGGGATACACCGACGGCTCGGTGAAGAACAACCTCGCAGGAGCGGGGTTCGTCCTCTTTCTTAACTCATCGTCTATTACAGAACATTTCCACCAACTCGGAAACACCACAACCATCTTCCAAGCAGAGTTACTGGCTTTACTCCACCTCTGTATCCACCTCTCCAAGAACTCTTACGAAGCTACTGAGCTCCACATCTGTATCGACAGCAAAGCAGTTCTTCTTGCCTTATCGGGCACTATCACCCGATCCCACCTCATCCTAGACACTCTAGGAGCCCTCAACGCACTTAGCAGGACGATATCCGTCACCCTCCACTGGGTACCGGCGCATAGTGGAATAATAGGCAATGATCTCGCAGATTCTCTGGCAAACAAAGGATCCGACTCTCCTCCCATTGGACCGCCTCCTTTTGCCCCTTACACTCACTCCTCTCTCTCTAATATTTTAGACAGTTACTTTTCTCGACTTCACTATAAACGTTTATTACTCTTCAGATCCTCCACTGATTTTCACCAATCCAACATTATTAGTTTCTTTGACAGACACCTTGACGTTAAACGACATAATAGAGACAATACCAGAATTCTTACCCATCTATTCACAGGATGCAGTTATCTCAGATATTTCCAAAACAAGATTGGCAACGAACCCAACAGCATATGCAAAAAGTGCGATGAAGACAAGGAAACTACAGCACACTACCTCACAAGCTGTCCAGCATTCTCCATACACAGGAAATACTACCTTGGTAACTATACCATCAGAGAGGACACCTTCCATCAAACCTTCTCTATCAGTAACATAGTGGGGTTCGCTAGAGCTACCAAGTATCTAGATTTCTATGAACCCCCTTAGTCCCTTTCTCTTAGCCTTAGCTGACGTAATTGTCCCTCTACCACAATCACCCTCCCCTCCCCAGATCGTGTTCAGACTTGCAGAAGGTCCTGCTACCCAGCCAGTTCTAAGGGCTCAATAGTCCACTGGACGGCGCTCGTAGCTTGACTTAATGCCTGTCTCTCTCTCTCCCCCCTCACCCCTCTTTTTCATCTTTGCTGATTGTGGAAGGGACAACCACGTTACCTACTCAGTTTCCTCTTATTGCCCATTGACATGATTCAGGGACTTCCCCAGCCCTCTATATCTCTAACATGATACCTCCCAGGACCATAGTATTCCATACCAGACATTTCTTTAACTCCTCGTTACAGCAAGACTAATACAACACGGAGAAGAAAAGAAATAGAGACAAGAATACGACAGCCATGGACTCCTACAAAAGACTAACAGAAGGAACATCCCGGTTTGATCCTTCTGAACTATGCATCTTATATCGGTATAGTATTGGTATCTATTTATTACCTATTGTTATTTTTTATCTTTGCTAGTTAATCAGGTTTTTGGGTACCGGGCCATCCTGGTTACCCTGCTATGGGCCGTTCCCCTGGCTTATGCAGGTCTAGTTTACCCATATATATATAATATAATTATATGATCCGATGAAGATTGAAGCATAATTTGTATTTCTGGTGACGAGCGTGCTAAATAAAAATTTTACTCTAAGTGAAAGTCTACAGTCGATCTTCAACATTTTTCTGAAAGAGCCCCTGACACTTGAAGTTGACAGTTGAAATCTACCTGTTTAGATGTATTTTCGAACGCTGATTCCAAATCATAGGGTTAAAATGGTCCCCTAGCGATATATCGGCAAAAACTGTCTCGATCACGTGATATTATTATTACCATACAATGAAATTGGTATAATTTCTGGTTAGGGTAAGGGTTTCAGCATATGCTTCAGTTTGAGTTTGGGATGAGGTTAGGGTTTGGATCAAATTAGATGGTTAGGGTTTCGAATAGTCATTCAGACTCAGAGCCACCTAGCGCTAGAGGACGTGTTTTAAAAGTTACGTGGAGAACGTTCAGGGCTTAGAATATCTCCCCTTTTTCGAAGGAACAATCATTGAAAATGAAGAACACTGCCTCACTGAATGTCCAATGTACCACTCAGCGAGACTTTCTCTGTCCGACAACCTTAAGAGCCTTTTGCTGCTCAAGGAATACGGAGCTATCATGAATTCTGCCCATGTGCAAGAACTGGGCAAATTCCTTTGCAACTGTCACCGCATCAGGAACCCGAAAAAGACGCCAATACTGCCTGTCACCCCATCAGGACTACCAACTCAACAGGCATAATACAGACCATCCATCATTATGCAGATTTCACGATCTGTTGTACGAGCATGGAACACTAGTGTTTACTGTTTCCACTACGTTGTGACTGTGAGTGGGAGGACTGTTCGAGTATGAATGTGTCTTTTGTGGACTCGAATACTGATATCGCAGTTTAGTGATCATTGAAGTTGCCTTTTACTACTTCCTCTTATGTTAAATTATTATTCCAGCAATTATTTCTATTTCGGTTGTTTGTACGGGAGTTAAATTTTAAGTGCTTTTGTTTTAAATTTTCATGACTCTTGAAATTCGAATTTTACTTACTCTAGTTATGTTATTCATTCATGTATAGTGAGACGATGGTGTTAGTACCATCTCCGACAACTTAATTCCGTTTAATTCCGTTTAATTCCGTTTAATTCCGTGATAGTCGAGTTTAGACTTAGAGTGATTAATCATCATTCTTTTGGTGAGGCACATTGATATAGGGACGAATAGAAAAGTTAAAGGGGCCAAATTCTGGATTTTACCGGGCAAATTTTGGAATTTGGCCACAAATTGTTTTTTTACAATAAGGTGGAAATGCGATTTAGAGTCAATTCCGAAAATTTCATGCGAAAATTTTTAAAACTGATAAATCCAAATTAATGAAATCAATTCCGAAAACATCACAAACGAAGATACGGGCAATTTTGTTCATCTTTTGGGGTATTTTCGCCTTAGTAATAGTTTATAGTGTAGTCAGTGTAGCTTACGTTGCAATTATCGAGCTCCCTTATCTTTTGTAAATTGCGATAAGTTCAGTTTGCTGCTACCGAGTAGTTAGCCTTTGCGTGTGTACTTGTACATTCCTATACAAGTACATTATGGAGGATGATCGTAAGGTGACCCAATCTCTGGACCAAATTCAAGGATTCGAGTATGATGAACAGACAAAATTGAAGGACAGTGTTACTAAGCAGGGACAAAAGGATTTCGCGATTATTTTGGCCAAAAATCGCGATACCGCGAAATTTAACAGGCTATACATTAAACTACACATAAAATTTGTCGTAAATAATGGGAAAAATCGCGATTCCGTACATGCCGCGATTTCCTTTTGTCCCTGTAATACTAAGTGGTTCATTACGCTGGGAAAAGAACTGAAAATCGACGACAGAGATATTTGTGGAGATATGGACAGAGAAATATTTATGGCTCCAACTGTCTATAAAAAGCATCTGGCACTTCGGCTTGTGGAAGCAATAGACCTCGTTCAACGGCATGAATGCCAGATGGGTAAAATGGAGGAGATCATATATTTCTTGAAGACGGAAGCGTTAGAAGACAAGGATAAGTTGATCAGGCTGCAGGGCCAGCTGCTTGTGCAGAAGGACAAAGAACTAGAGTTGTTTAAGACGTCGGTTAAGAAGACAGTGCAAACAACGGTGGAGTCAGGGATAAAGAGCTACAGTGCAACTGTACAACAGAACAGTGCAAGTGGTACGGTCTGCAACAGTAACATCCTGAAGAAGGTGATGAAGAGTGTGGCTGCAGAGGAGGACAGGAGCAAGAACCTGATCGTGTTTGGGTTGAAAGAAGAAGAGGGAGAACAGCTTCCAGCGCTAGTAACCGCAGTTCTGGAGGAGATTGGGGAGAAACCTCACTTCGAAGCGACTAGAGTCGGCAGGAAGAGGCCAGGTAGTACGACTATCCGACCAGTAAAGATCACTGTCCCAAGCTCTACAGCGGTTCAACAGATTCTGACGAAAACAGGAAGACTGAGGCTAGTTGAGACCCACAAAAATGTATGGATCTGTCCAGATAGATCTAGCGAAGAACGAGCAACGAGGAAACATCTGGTTACGGACCTGAAGAAGAAGAGGGTTGAGCAGACTCATCTCGACCACTATATCCGGTACGGGAAAGTCTGTAGCCGTGATAAGAAACCACCGTGAAGCAATTCATGTCTCTCGGACACTGATCAGTATTTGAATGAGTATTGTGTATCTTAATAGTTCTCGGACGTTATCTGTATTTGAGAGACAATTTTATAATTTATATACGAGCTATTTCTTGATTGTTTCACACTTCATATTTCATAATTTGTTTCACACTTCATATTTCATAATTTTATTACTAGGTGGAGGTGACGTTATTGAGACTTTGGGCGGCCATAAACCTCGTGTTTTAAAAGTTGTCCTCTCCTCTGAACTTGTTTCACTGACCCACGCTTTATAGCATTTATACATTTCGGCCCATTTTATATGTTTGTTCGATTTGCTGTACATTTGTATATTTGCTATTTTGTAAAAGTTTCAAATCAAATCAAATCAGTATCCACATTTAAAAAGATATAAAGCTATAACTTACAGAGAATATGTAGTTTAACTTTAGGCTTACCTTTCATATAAATATAAAGTAAGTCTCATTCAAAAATATTGATATTTGATTAACAGGTGATACTCGTAAAATATTTGTTTCAAATATTATATATATTATTCAGGACCGTCGACGAGTCCAACTCGGCGCGCGTCCTGATAGGTTATAAACCTACAAATATTTGACCAATTTATGGGACGAAATCTACCAAATTTGATCATGCGTTTGCCCAAATATGGGCATATGGTTTTTGGCTCATAACTCGGTCATTTTTTGTCAAATCTTGATGAAATTTCATATACGATTTCAGGCCGAGAACACTAGCTACAAGTACAAGCAAAGCACCTTAAACCTGGGTTTTGTGGCTCCCACGTACGCGGGCACCGTTTGGCGGTTGGGGTCCGGGACCACTTCAAAAGTTCGGTAACTGGTCCTACTCCTAGTTTGCTATCTCGAAATCAAGTTTCACAAAAAAAATACCCATTGGCCCCCCCCTCCCCCTATATATATATATATTTTTCCGAGCGTGCTAAATCACTCTACAGTCGATCTTCGAGATTGTTCTAAAAGGGCCCCTACAGTTGAAACCAACTTCATTCGATGTATTTTCGGACGCTGATTACGAATCACCCCCCATGACATAGGGTTAAAATGCTCCCCTGACGAGATATTGGCGAAAAACTGTTTCGATCACGTGATATGACCGTATAAGGAAGTTAGTCTAATATCTAGTTAGGGTTAGGGTTTCAGCATATGCTTTTGTTAAGGATTGGGTTATGGTTAGGGATGGGATCAGATTAGAGGGTTAGGGTTTCGAATAGTCGTTCAGGACCAGCTAGAGAAGGGGTTGAAAAAGTCACGTGACGGTCGAGTGTAGAGTGATTAATCATCATCCATATTTTTCGTCCAAAAATATGACTTCTATAAAATTTGAATGAAATAGATAGGAATATCTCATTTATACACGTTACTGTACAAAAATATTTCATCTTGGATAGATTGTTTTCTCGGAAGAAATTATTTTCAGGAACCACCTGAAGATAGGAATCTTTCAGATGAAGATTTTACATCTATAAAAACTCGGAACTGGTAACTTTTATTAAAAAATTACCTGTGCAAGGGTCTTTGTTACATGTTTGAGTTTCGAAATCGTTTCCTTCACATTCTTTACCACCATTACTGGGAGCAGGGTCGTTACATTGTCTGGTTCTGGTTTGGGTGCCTCCGCCACAATCAGCAGAGCAGTACTTAGACCAATCTCCAAAAGCACTCCATCCTCCATCAACTGAAATTAGATAGAATGTAATTCCTATCACAATAATATGGCTACCATCGAGATATGTATTTTAAGTTCCGTAAATTAATTCTTTTGTTCATGAATAATTCGAAAATATCCGCTTCTATAAGATTTGAATGAAAAAGACAGGAATATCCCATATATACACGTTACTGTACAAAACTATTTCATCTTTGATACATTTTTTTCTGGGAAGAAATTATTTTTAGGAAGCACCTGAAGATAAGAATCTTTCAGATGAAGATTTTACATCTATAAAAACTCGGAACTGGTAAGTTTTATAAAAAAATTACCTGTGCAAGGGTCTTCGTTACATGTTTGAGTTTCGGAATCGTCTCCTTCACATTCTTTACCACCATTACTGGGAGCAGGGTCGTTACATTGTCTGGTTCTGGTTTGGGTGCCTCCGTCACAATCAGAAGAGCACTTAGACCAATCTCCAAAAGCACCGTATCCTCCATCAACTGAAATTAGATAGAATGTAATTCCTATCACAATAATATGGCTGCCATCGAGATATGTATTTTAAGTTCCGTTAATTAATTCTTTTGTTCATGAATAATTCTAAATCATCCGTTTCTATAAATGAAAAAGACAGGAATATCCCATATATACACGTTACGTACTGTACAAAACTATTTCATCTTTGATAGATTTTTTTCTCGGAAGAAATTATATTTAGGAAGTACCTGAAGATAGGAATCTTTCAGATGAAGATTTTACATCTATAAAAACTCGGAACTGGTAAGTTTTATAAAAAAATTACTTGGGCAAGGGTCTTCGTTACATGTTTGAGTTTCGGAATCGTCTCCTTCACATTCTTTACCACCATTACTGGGAGCAGGGTCGTTACATTGTCTGGTTCTGGTTTGGGTGCCTCCGTCACAATCAGCAGAGCACTTAGACCAATCTCCAAAAGCACTATATCCTCCATCAACTGAAATTAGATAGAAATCACAAAAATATGGCTGCCATCAAGATATCTATTTTAAGTTCCGTAAATTAGTTCACGAATAATTCGAAAATAGCCGCTTTCATAAAATTTGAATGAATAAGGCAGGAATACCTTCTCGGAATACCTTCTCGGAATACCTTCTCGGACCTTATGAAGGCCCTAACGGTCATCTTAATGTAGGTTCAAATAAATAATCCGTTCATTTAAGGTCCGTCCAAGTTAAACTTAAAGTCCGTTGAATTTTTTTCAAACATTTTTCCACTTTGAATTTTTTGTCCAGAATATGACAACTATGAGAACTTTATTGTGCCGTAAGTAAAAGTGGTAACACGACATCTGTCCGACAGCGACATCTGTCCGACAGCACTATTTTCTTGTGTTTGAAGTGATATCTCAAATTTGGCACATAGAAATTCATCCAAACTTGCACAAATTATTTGTCTTAAAGCTATCTTACTATCTAGAAAGTTTCAAGAAAATCGTATTGTTGGATCTCCAGATATATGCCTTGGAACCACTGCAAACCACCGAATTGGAGATATTTTGTGTGTTTAAGGTGATATCTCAAATTTGGCACATAGAAAATCGCTCAAACTTACACAGGTTATCCATCATATAACCACCATACTTTATGGAAAGTTTCAAGAAATTATATTTAGGAAGTACCTGAAGATAGGAATCTTTCAGATGAAGATTTTACATCTATAACAACTCGGAACTGGTAAGTTTTATGAGAAAATTACCTGGGCAAGGGTCTTCGTTACATGTTTGAGTTTCTGAATCGTCTCCTTCACACTCTTTACCACCATTACTGGGAGCAGGGTCGTTACATTGTCTGGTTCTGGTTTGGGTGCCTCCGTCACAATCAGCAGAGCACTTAGACCAATCTCCAAAAGCACTATATCCTCCATCAACTGAAATTAGATAGAAATCTCAAAATATGGCTGCCATCAAGATGTTTATTTTAGGTTCCGTAGATTAATTCTTATGTTCACGAATAATTCGAAAATATCCACTTTTATAAAATTTGAATGAAAAAGACAGGAATACCTTATCGGACCTTATTTTATGACTCCTTTTATCTACTATGAGTAATAGTAAAACTTGACTAGTATATGATGTTTTCAAGGGTCACTTGGCGGAAAAAGTCAACGAAATTATTATTTAATGGCACTCAACAACATAGTTCATGAGCTTGTCCCCGCCAACATGACAAACTTGTTCCAGCCTCTAGGTATTACGGTAAATCGTGTTGCCAAGGACATTGTCCGACATTGTCCGACGTTGTTATAGTTTATATAACTCACTCTCAGGGGAGGTAATGAAACAGTGCTAGGAAAGCTCCACGTGATGTTAAGGTTAACGTAAAGTTGTCTAATATAAGATAAAAACCGCTTCGCGCCGAATGGGTTGTAAAAGTTAACACTGAAATGCAGGACCGGGGTAGTTTGATAAAAAAAGGTTTTCATAAAGCTAGAAATCACTGATGCTTTAAGCATGGACTATTCTGTATTCTATGCACGAAAACCCATTTGATGAAGATAATAGGTGACACTGGTCATTATATTCACAATACTATTTACCCCCTATCACAATGCTGGCAAGCATGACCGTCGCCCTTATATTCACAATACTATTTACCCCCTATACTATTATACCCCTTTATTGTTTTTCAGGCATTAAGACTCATCGAAAGTAGTTTAGCAGGTATATTTAAGCTCAAAACATACTCATAACTAATTCAATGTTAAAGATGACGGCAGCATGTTTTACGAAATTCGGTAAAAAACCCAAAATCACCATATTCAGGTGCCTTAAAAATCAAGTTAAAATTGAGTTAGAGATCAAGAGTATCAGAAAACAATAAGATTTACTACAATTCGTAAGCTGTGAGTGAATGGAAAATTCGAGCGACCGATTGCATTCTCGATATCAATTTGCATTTGCAGACGGTTATTCAAATTAATATCATTTCCTTGTGTTTGGAAAAGAGAGACACTGGCAGCAGTCCACTCTACCCATGATTATGGGTTTTGGTCAAATATATAATATATAATCCGATGAAGATTGAAGCATAATTATTTTAAAAGAGCCCCTGACAAGATTGAAATCTACCTGTTTCGATTTATTTTCGAATGCTGATTGCGAATCATAGGGCTAAAATGGTCCCCTAGCAATATATCGGCAAAAACTGTCTCGATCACGTGATAATACCGTACAATGAAGTCGGCATAATTTCTGGTTAGGGTAAGGGTTTCAGCATATGCTTCAGTTAGGGAATAGGGATGAGGTTAGGGTTGGGATAAGATTATATGGTTAGGGTTTCGAATAGTTATAGTCATTCAGAGCCACCTAGAGGACGTGTTAAAAAGTTACGTGACAGTCGAGTGCAGTAGACTTTCACTTAGAGTGATTAATCACCATTCTTTTGGTGACGCATATTGATATAGGGACAAATAGAAAAGTTAACATATACTGGCTAAATATCAGTATTTGACTATTTCTTACCTTCGGATTTTTTTGAGGTTCTATACTTTGTTACTCCTTCGTCAAAGGAAAAGTTTATCATCTCTTTGTTTTTTTCCCACGTATCTCTCCAAAAAGACGACCATCCCGTGCACACTGCGTCGGAAGGTTCGAAAGTGATCAGCATCTCATCGTTGCAACTGATCTTCAAACCATTTGTTCCGTGCGTTTCTACTTTGAAGATCCGAATGCCATCATCATCTTTAGCGGGCAAATCAACAGGAAGGTCTAAATTTGCGTCCTGTAATTCCGTACACTTAAGGAAACCATACTTTGGTGGATTTAAGAACAGTAATTTGAAACCACCTGAACCTTCGCCGGCATTGTTTTTATAGTTGATTATCAAATTTTTGCCACTTCCAATCGCCAGATCAGTTTTCATATAAACATCCGCTTGGTTGGGAAGTTCAATATCTCCCCTTATCGGTTTGTCGTTCCAGTGATATAAATCTGTGGTGTTTAAAATTAAAAGACATACGACCAGTGGCGTAACGAAAGGCCGTCTTAAGGGGGGGGGGGGGGGGGGGGGGGGGGGGGGGGGCGCCAAATCGTCGTTTGAATGTGGGACAATTTCGAAAACTTAACTAAAGTACTAGCAAAACTGCGCGTTTTGCTCTAGATACACACTTTTTAGAGATTTTACCGGCGTATTCTTTAAAATCACCTAATTTGTTCAATTTTAGGGAGGGCACCAAAAGGGGAGGGGGCGCCAACAGGGGGGCGCTTTTTTCGGCAGGGGGCGCCAACAGGCAACGTTACGCCACTGCATACGACGATTAAAAATGGTGCTACTCAGTTCTCAGCCGAGTAGAAAATATTACAAAATCTGGCTAATATTACTTGTAATACTGTTATCGTCCCCATCGTCCTGGTCGTCCAAAAATACGGCTTCTATAAAATTTGAATGAAATCTTTCATCTTTGATAGATTTTTTCTCGGAGGAAATTATTTTCAGAAAGCACTCATTTTTCAGATGAAGATTTTACATCTATAAAAACTCGGAACTGGTAAGTTTCATAAGAAAATTACCTGAACAAGGGTCTTCGTTACATGTTTGAGTTTCGGAATCGTCTCCTTCACATTCTTTACCACCATTACTGGGAGCAGGGTCGTTACATTGTCTGGTTCTGGTTTGGGTGCCTCCGTCACAATCAGCAGAGCACTTAGACCAATCTCCAAAAGCACTATATCCTCCATCAACTGAAATTAGATAGAAATCACAAAAATATGGCTGCCATCAAGATATTTTTTTTAAGTTCCGTAAATTAATTCTTATGTTCACGAATAATTCGAAAATATCCACTTTTATAAAATTTGAATGAAAAAGACAGGAATACCTTATCAGACCTTATTTGAACGGACATTAAATGAATGCTGGAGGCCCTAACGTTCATCTTAATGTCCGTTCAAATAAAGTCCGTTCATTTAAGGTCCGTCCAAGTTTAAGTCCGTTGAATTTTTTTCAAGGATTTTTCCACTTCGAACTTTTTGTCCAGAATAATATGACAACTATGAGAACTTTATTGTGCCGTAAGTTAACGACGGAAAGGTTCTCCTTGGTCTGCCGGAGGCACAGAAAACTGTACATTGTACTATATGATGTTTTCAAGGGTCACTATTTAATGGCACTCAACAACATAGTTCATGAGTTAGTCCCCGCCAACATGACAAACTTGTTCCAGCCTCTAGGTATTACGGTAAATCGTGTTGCCAAGGACATTGTCCGACATTGTCCGACGTTGTTATAGTTTATATAACTCACTCTCAGGGGAGGTAATGAAACAGTGCTAGGAAAGCTCCACGTGATGTTAAGGTTAACCTAAAGTTGTCTAAGATAAAAACCACTTCACGCCGAATGGGTTGTAAAAGTTAACACTGAAATGCAGGACCGGGGTAGTTTGATTTTAAAAAAGGTTTCAATAAAGCTACAAATCACTGATAGACTTTTTCATGCACGAAAACCCATTTGATGTAGATGATATGTGATATAAAACACTGATCATGTATACATATTTTATTATTTTTACTGTTTAACGACTGTTTTTCTTACTTACTGTATAAAAAATGGATTTGAAAAACATTTGCTGAAATAAACGTTTAAAAAATGAAAAAATGAGGATTTTTGATGGTTTTGAATGCTTCCCAGCGTTCATATTAATGTCCGTTCATAATTATGTCCGTTCATTTAACTATTTAATGTCCGTCCAAATAAGGTCCGATAAGGTACCTCCCCGGTGCAAAATAACCATTAATGTCATTAAAGACATACATATTTCCAGACTTTAATCTTTTAATGTTACAAATGAGAGATCACACGATGTCATTGTAACTTTGTAACCCCACTGAATATGGATGTCGACACAATGAACAGTAAGTTTATATATTTATAATTTAGACCAGAAGTCTTGCCCGTCAGTTACTTCAGTGTAGACATATACTGTTATTATAGATGAAAATAATGAAGTCTTCAATATAACTACCGAGTTCGATGACCCCCAGTGCTTCAGTGGTATGCCAGAACATGACTTGAAGTCTGGTAATTTATAATGTACTAGAAAGCCCGTGGTCACACGGAGGAAGCTAATAGTATTCTTTGGTAGCCAGTTTTTATAGCATCAACAAATATCCGTCACAACCGAAGATACAGCCAATTGAAATATACCTCGCACTGAACACCACCTAATTACACCAACAAAAAAACGATCAAAATACCGCTCGCAAATCAGGGCACGTTCGCTTTTGAACACCGTTACTATGGCTACTATGCAACTTCTTATTTTCATCTAACTTGCACGTGGGCGGTCGTACAGCATACAGAAATAATTCTTTGAATTATAATAATGTATTAGAAACTTAGAAAGCCCGTGGTAACAGGGATGGAGCTAGTAGCTTTCTATTTATTTGGCAGTCAGTTTTAATCGCATCAAAAAGTATTCATCCCCACCGAAGATATCGCCGATTTAAATGTAGCTCGCGCTGAACACAACGTAATTACCACAAACCCGATAAAAATGTCGGTCGCAAATCTTTGCACGTGCACGTGCGTTTAACAACCATCGTTACCGTGGTTACTATGTTGGGTTGCTAGCTTTGGCCTTTTACTATTGATAGATTACCCTGAAACCTTCTAGAGAATAATCTAGAACTTGATATAATGGGCACAATACCATAACACATTGCACCACATGGTCAGTAGTAACCATAGCAGTGAGCAGCTAATGCTAAAAGCTTTAGGGGGGATAGTCTTAAACTGCCCTAACTTACCAGATCTTACCAGATCTTACCAGATCTTACCAGATCTTACCACTTCTTACCAGAGTTAACCGCAACTTGCCCCAACTACCTCTAACTAGCCGTAACTAGCCGTAACTAGCCAATAAAGTAATAACACAGTCCCTCACGGGAGTTGCACCAGTGCATATAAATATGCGTGCTGCTTTTAGCAACTTAGAGTTCTACTGGAGTCTAAGTTAGCTGTGACTAGGAGCTCTCGTATCAACCTACTGCGTGACCGACAGACCGGTTTTGTGTCCTTGAACCAGCTCCCTTCTCTAGTGATGAATTCATGTTAAAGACGCTTATTGAGGAATTCTTGATGTATTCATAATACTAACCTTTTACGATTATTTATAAAAGAGTGTTTATTAAGTGTTTCAACAAACTACATGAAGTTATGGAACATACTCTCATACTAAGTAATTAAGACTTAACAACTATGTAACTTCTTATTTTCACCTAATTTGCAGGTGGGCGGTCGTACAGAAATAATTCTCTGAAATATAAGTGAGACTATACAACCCCTGGTCACAGGGAGGAAGCTAATTTTGATAGTATTTTTTGTTAGTAAGTTTAAATAGCGTCAAAAAATATCCTACACAACCGAAGATACTGCCAATTAAAATGTTCATCGTACTGAACACAGCGTAATATCAACAAAACCGATCAAAATGACGTTAAAACAATCATTGCACGTGCACGTACGTGTAACAATCCTCGTTACCACGGTAACTACGCAACTTTCTATTTCTCGTCTGATTTTCACGTGGGCGGTCGTACATACATAAAAGAAATAATTCCTTGAATAAAGAAATAATTCCTTGAATTATAATAGAGACTAGAAACTTAGAAAACCCGTGGTTACAGGAAGGAATCTAATAATATTCTTTGGCAGTCAGTTCTATTCGCGTCAAAAAGAGAAAAAGTATTCATCTCCACCGAAGATACAGCTGATTAAAATGTTGCTCGCACTAAACAGTAAACACAACTGCATATCAACAAAAACGATCAAAATGCCATTCTAACAATCTTTGCACGTGCACGTGTGTGTATAACCCTCGTTACCATGGTTACTACGCGACTTGTATTTGTTTACCTTATTTGCACGTGGGCTGTCGTATATACATACAGAAATAATTCTTTGAATTATAATATAGACTAGAAAGCCCGTTGTAACAGGGACAAAGCTAGTAGTCTTCTTTGAAAGAAAGTTTTAATCGCATCAAAAATATCCATCCCAACTGAAGATACAGCCGATTTAAATATAAAACACTTTAAACACAACGTAATTACCACAAAACCGATCAAAATGACGTTAAAACAATATTTGCATGTGCATGTTTACTGGGCCGCGCTCAGCCTGTCATTCCGCCGAATCTCTATTCTATATATATGTTTATGAACATAATAGCCTGAGGTCCCCAGGTAAGTGCATGTGTGCATTAAAACACCGTTGCTATGGAACCTTTTGGTTGTTACCTAAATTCCTATTTCTCATCTAATTTGCACGTGGGCGGTCGTATGTCGTACAACAAAAATAATTCTCTGAATTATAGTAGAGACTAGAAAACCCATGGTCACAGGGAGGAAGCTAATAGTATCCTTTGATAGTAAGTTTTTATCGTATTAGAAAATGTCCATCACAACCGAAGATACAGCTGGCTGATCTCCTTTTCTTTTGCGGTGCGGCCACGGTCCTTTCGGTACAGATTTCCCTGCAGCATAGTCGGGACGCAACCCAAGGCTCGCACTGAACACAACGTAATTACCACAAATCCGATCAAAATGACGTTAAAAATATCATTGCACGTACATGCGCTTGTAACAAACCTCGTTACCATGGTTACTGTGCAACCTTTTTTCTTTTTGCCTAATTTGCACGTGGGCGGTCGTACAGTGTACAAACAAACATTGTACAAAAAGAATTCTCTGAATTATAATATAGACTGGAAAACCCGTGGTCACAGGGAGGAAGCTGATAGCATTTTAGTTTCTAAATACAAACTGAAACTCTGAAAAGGAAACTGATGTGAAATATGAAACATCAAGTATTTTAAAAAATCTATCTATGGAAAGCCCCTCGGACAAAATAAAAATTAATTATGCAATAAAGGAATCTTGAAAGGGTTTGTACTATTCATTCCTGAGGGGCGAAGGGCCTTAAAGAGTTAAAGTCACTTTAAGCTTTTAAAGTTTTAAGGCATGCATATATCGGTGCTCCTTTACATCTAAACTACTAGAACTTTAATTTTATAGGATACAAACTGAACCACTATTGTTAAAATTTTCTTTCTGAGACAGTCCATGCTCTATATGGAGGTGGAGTCATGCTTATTCCCCAGAGCTATGTCTTTCACCTTAACCAACCAGCTTTTGAGGTTGCTTCCTGTTTTCTTGACAAACTGGAAGAACTTATTGCCATTATTCTTTTCTTCAAGGGCAAAACTTCTGTTCTTCTTTAGGTTCTCCTCATACTTTGTCACTGTGGTGACAATGTTAGAGTCACTTCCATAGGTTGAGACAACCCTTATTGAGTTATTGGCAGGATCTCTGGCTTCAGTGTGTTATCCTTGATGGGAGATCTTCGTTCAAGGTTTCTTTCTGAGTTGAGAAATTTCTTGCTGATGTTGTTCACCATTTTTAAGGGATAGGCAGCTGCCTTGAATGCTTGGCTTAATTCACTCAATCTGGTTTCCAGTCGTTCTTGTGAGTTGATTATTCTCGTGAGCCTGATGCACTGGCTGTAAACTATTCCACTATAAATGTGGTTTGGATGTGCACTGCTAAAATGTAGATAGCTTCTTGAATCTGTTTCCTTGACCTTATATTAATACTATTCACAGTTGCAATTTGCATCATACGTAATACATAAGTGTCCCTGACATCTCTCACGATCAAATTTCATTTTTATCTCGAAAATCCTTAAGACCTTACAATTTTACGACGATTTAAGAAAGACAATGTAAAAGTTATCAAGATGTATAGTTAAATGAACGTGATTTTAGCGGGAAGGGTAAAAGAAAGAGTAAGAGAAAGTGATTTTATTTATTATGTATTTTCAGAAGTAAAAGCTGTTGGATCCAGTGCAAAGTTTTAGGGTGATTGCTCAAAAACTGTAGAACTAGAAGATGAATCCTTAGACTCGATATTCAGTGTACACGCGATTGAAAATCACTCCCGCAATTATACTGAATACAATTACTAATACTCATCACTCATAAGCGCTGACCTTTGACCAGCTATAAATTCGTTGATTGACGATATCTGCATTGATGTCAACCCTTCCAGATCGTTGCTCTGCAACCATCTTCGATGCGAAACAATAATGCTAGTTTGCGCGTCGAAGCGGCGAAGTCCTCCAGTAAACACCCCCTGGCCCCTTCCCCCTCAAATGTCCTCGAATAAAGCTTTGTACTAAAAACTGTTGACCACGCCCCCCCCCCCCCTAATTACCTGTAATAACATTATCATCCCCATGTTACTCAGCTCCGTAGTACAGTGATTAATCATCACTCTTTTGGTGAGGCATATTGATATAGGAACGAATAGAAAAGTTAATATATACTGGCTAAATATCATAGATGATACGTACGAACTCTACGAACTCCTCAGTGATAACGAACTCTACGAACTCATCAACCCAAAATTACGAACTCTTGAGGAGTTCGTTTTGTACAACTTACGTAAAATGAAATTAAACAGAAATTGTATTTACAATTCAGCCAATTCAACACATAACATACGATTGTAAAACAACTAAATATATTGGTACTCGAAACTTCTACCACGCGTCGCGTGTACACTGTACATTTCACAGTACAAGGACTGGTCGATCGACTGGAACATTCTGGCGCCAATAGTTTGCGCGCGCACGTTCCCTGGAAACACTTGGTGGTGGGACCCCTGAACTGCAAGAACTGGCCATTAAGGTCTTTAAACAACATACGTCAGCTTCCTTGTGTGAACATAATTGGAGCTCATTTGAGTATATATTCAATAAAAAGAGGAATAGATTGTCGACTGATAGAGTTGAAAAGCTGGTTTACGTTCATGGAAATCTACGTTATTGTAAGTCAAAACAGGAAGTACGCTGTTCCCATAAACATGCTTCAACAAGTCTGTTGAAGTATATTTCCGATGTTATGTCTGCTGAAAGTTAGTAAAATTTAACATTCTGTATTGCTCGTTATTTATTTATTTATACAAAAATATTATAGTTTTATTCTTTATTTTTACCCCAATAAATATCTGAGATCATGCGAGAAATCCTGAGCTGATTACTTTTTTTAAAAAACATTTTCCATGTTTTTTTTTGAAAAATTGACTAACGAACTCCAACGAACTCTAACGAACTCCAAATTTTGAACGAACTCCACGAACTCTACGCCAAAAATCAACGAACTCCGCATCTATGCTAAATATCAATATTTGACTATTTCTTACCTGCGGATTCCGAACTTGAGATTTTGTACTTTCTTACTCCTTTGTCAAAGGAAAAGCTTATCACCTCTTTGTTTTTTTCCCACGTATCTCTCCAAAAAGACGACCATCCCGTGCACACTGCGTCGGAAGGTTCGAAAGTGATCAGCATCTCATCGTTGCAACTGATCTTCAAACCATATTTTCCATGCATTTCTACTTTGAAGATCCTAAAGCCATCATCATCTTTAGCGGGCAAATCAACAGGAAGGTCTTGACTTGGCTTATTAAAGTCCGTACACAAAAGGAAACCATACTTTGGTGGATCTGAGAATTTTAATACGAAAGATCCCATGTTTTGAAAGTCACCATTGTTTTCATTATAGTTGATTCTCAAATCTGTGCCGCTTCCAATCGCCAGATCAGTCTTCATATATACATCCGCTTGGTTGGGAATGTTGATATCTCGCAGGAACGGTTTGTCGTGCCATTGATCTGAAATATTGGTGTTTTTAAGACACACGACAAAAACAATTTTACACCTAGCCTAGTCAGTGCGATATTCATAGCGAAGGAATAAAGATATTCACACAACTCGTGTATATTTGTGGTAAACTGATTTATGTATAAGTTTACCACGAAATACAAAATATGATATATATAATTGTGTTTGAATAATTGTGCAATAAGTAGTTTAAAAGTTAAGCTGGCATTGGTGTATTCGGCGTTATTTTAGCAGGTTTTAAGTTGTTTAATCTGTATAGTGTATAGTCCTCTTTATTTTTGTAGTATGATGATTAATCACTATACACTAGAATAACACGTTCTCTAGATCAAAATGGCCCTGGATAGAAAGATTATTCAAGATCCTAACCCTCTACTAGTACTCTGACCCCAACCCTAACTCTAACTCTAACACAATCCGTAACCGACGCAAACGAGAAATTCGACTAACTTCCTTCATGTATGATAATGCCACTTGAGATCAGTGATAGCGCAACAGAGGAAATGGAAAGGTCATTATTGGTACGCTCAATTTTTATACTTTATTTGTCATTGACATTGTATAAAATTGTATGAAATATGATTCTTATTTCGCAACATATTCAATAAAGTGCTAATGTCGTATTATATATAAGTAATATTATAACCTGGTTCGACATTGATGGGCGGATCCGCTGCATCACTGACAACCAGACAGAAAGCTGTAAAAACCAAAAACGAGAGGCTCTGCATCTTTATGTCGTCATGAGCTTACTGAAAAGAAAAGGAATAAATAAGAATTCATATTTTAAATTGACCTTTTATATTGGATCAGACATTAACATTGTAATTTGAAATTTAAGGAAATCTAGCCTAATAGACTAAACTTTCAGAAAATGAAAGAAAAAATGTGAGTTTCTTGCTTCAAACAGCATTTGATGATACCGAAATTTTGCCCCATATTTTAAAATATAGTTCGTTAATTATACTAGCAGGAACCCGTCTAACTCTAAGTCTAACTAAATGTCTAAAATAATTATTACTTATTTAATTCGCGTCAAAAAATTTATTCGAATATCTGTTTAATTATTCAATACAAAAAAGAGTTAAAATAATCAATCACAATCCTCGAAAATTGCAACATAAAGTTGCATCAAAGTCCTTTCCCGGCCCAGAAAGAGAAACACTCAGAGCTAAGCCCAAATATCAAACCAAGAGACCCGACACGTGTGGAGTGTCCCACTCAGTGTCATGAGTCTCTCATAGTCATGAGTCTCCTCACTATTTTTGCTCTTTCACTGTTTTGGTAGTTAGATCATCTGAAGTATAGATAATGGAGAATGAAAAAGTGTAAAAGTGTAAAGTTACGTGGCTAACTTATTCATATTGTTTGTAAATGTATCTACGTTAGGTAACAACGTGGTACCTAAGCCCGTAAGGTAACAACGTGGTACCGTAGCAACGTAGATACAATCAATAAGTTAGCCACGTAAGGTAATACCTTGCTAGCAGTAGCATTGTAACAGATGGCCACGTTTTGACCTTCGTCTGAAACCGGATAACCCTGAAACTGGTTGGTATAATTATATCGTACAGCTGATGTAATCACGTGTTCTACCAGCTCTGTGATCATATCATGGCTTAAATATACTGGTTACTTTTTCTACGAGCTCTGTGATTGGCTTAAATATACTGGTCACGTGTTCAACCGTTGACGAAACATACGAATGCCATCTACGAAAGTACAAATTAGGAACCGACCGGATTGGGGTTTTGGCTGCCGGACCGGATTCAGCCGGATTTGGATCTCAAATCCGGCAAGCCGGATTTTGCCGGACCGGAACCGGTGGTTTCAGAGTGAAATAAAAGGCAGCCGGATTTTGCCGGATTTTGCCGGATGTTGCCGGAAAATTTCCTTCCTTTCCACGCCTAATCTTCATCGAGCACTTCTTGCAGCTTGCATAAGGGATCCCATTTTCTTCTGAGTAGAACAACCAGACGGACGATGTTTTAGATTTACTACTACTCGACTCGACTTAGGGCGGCTTCAACGTCCGAACAGATATAGTTTTTTTACAAATCTTCCTATCTACTACTAGACATTGCTTAAACAAGCAGTACGTAGGAGACACAATGTAACACGAGTAGACACGAGTCACGACACTAGACGAGTAATAATCAGAAATGATATCTAATTGGCATATGCTGCCAGACCCCGGCCCTGATTGAGCGCGTCTGTGCGAATTCCCTTTTTTCATGCAAGTCTGAGTATCATTGGGTCACGTGACTTACAACCAGAGGTGCTTAATAAGGTTGTTCGTAAGCAGGCACTGTCTAGTACAGTACTAATCACCGTCTGGCGTCTAGAGCTGAGTCACATGATTGCAGTAATGAGCTAATTAAACCCTGAACACGTGACCTTCATATTTTGTATTTCATAATCAGAAGATTAAATACTGCCAATTTTGCGATTATAGCCGGGGGCTAGCCCAGGGAGGTGGCCCAAAATATTTTCCGGTTTTTTCTAAGTCCGCACCTATCCCTCGATACACTATTCTGTATTCTGGACTCAAGGTTTCCCCCGGTAATGCGATCTCGGAAGGCAGGCCTCCCCTTTGCAACACGAGCTCGGAAGCGGGAGCTCTCGATACAGGAGGTACGTCTCGAGAACGACTCGGACCGAAAACTTTTAAGTTAAAATTTTTCGAAGTTTTTCTGAAAACCACTTTTTTCCACGATTCAGGCTACCCTGTTCATTATTAGCCGAAAATATTTTTTCGGTTTTTCGAAGTCCCCACCTACCCCTCGATACACAATTTTGGACTCGAGGTTTCCCCTGGTAATGTGATCACGGAAGGCAGGCCTCCCCTTTGCAACACGAGCTCGGAAGCGGGAGCTCTCGATACAGGAGGTACGTCTCGAGAACGACTCGGACCGAAAAACTTCTAAGTCAAAATTTTTCAAAGTTTTTCTGAAAACCACTTTTTTCCACGATTCAGGCTACCCTGTTCATTATTAGCCGAAAATATTTTTTTGGTTTTTCGAAGTCCGCACCTACCCATCGATACACAATTCTGGACTCGAGGTTTCCCCCGGTAATGTGATCTTGGAAGGCAGGCCTCCCCTTTGCAACACGAGCTCGGAAGCGGGAGCTCTCGATACAGGAGGTACGTCTCGAGAACGACTCGGACCGAAAAACTTCTAAGTCAAAATTTTTTAAAAGTTTTTCTTAAAACCACTTTTTTTCCACGATTCAGGCTACCCTGTTCATTATTAGCCGAAAATATTTTTTTGATTTTTTTTCGGTAAAAAATACTGAAATCCGGCAAAAATCCGGCAAATTTTTTTCCAGCCGGAGCCGGAACCGGAACCGGATTTTGAAGCCGGATATCCGGCCGGAACCGGATTCAGCCGGATTTCCGGTCGGTTCCTAGTACAAATGTTCACCCACCGAAATTTGATTTCGAGATATGGCAATTAACCATGAACACATTAGGGCCTGTGACGGACTTTTGGAGTGTGGAGGGTTCCGGACTCGACGCGTGCCCGCAGGACAGTCACGCCCATTTTTTGTCTCAATTATGCCCAATTATGCCAAATCACCTTCAAGCACGTAGCCCGGATAATTCTTTTGGGGGGCCCAGCAAATAAGTTTTTTCCACATAGTAGCTAACAAATAACAAACGAACAAATGAGTAATGGACGTGGCTGTATATAACCTCGGTTGGTTGGCAGAACTACTGTCGTTGTGTTTCTGGGAAACACCGTGATCTCATACCTGAGCACTGTAATTGATGTGGGATGTGGAATGAGAGGCAGCATTTTCACGTGGGACTACGTAGCAACATATAATATAAACCTACATCTTAAGTTGTAGAACCACAAAAACTCGCCTCTTTACTGTGTATATAATCCTTGATATTTTAGAGGTACCCTGATCATGTGGGGTACGATAATTGTTCAGGTGCTCACTTGAAAACATTATGATCTAATAACACCGGGGTGATCTATACAAAAGTGTGTTGCTAACAAATTTTTGAGTCACATTGATCCAATGTTACATCCAATACAGCTTCCACATGGAGCGTAATATTACACTAATTATAAGGGTTAAAAATATTAAAATGAGTCACTCAATTGCTCTATAGGATAAGGATAGCTATAAGCGTGCTTGTGACACATTATAACTTCAGTCTTCACTTTGACCCGCTCTAATCTGGTAAGATCGTTATATATTACACGATAAGATCACAAATGCACCGTGAGCAATGAACATGACGTAATAATCAAGTTACATCCAATATAGCTTCCACGTGGTACATGATATCACACCAGGGACAAAATGATTTCGCGGCGATTTTGGCCAAAAATCGCGAGACCGCGAATTACATTTTGCGGTATATTAAACTATACTTGATAGCATGCTTCGCGCGCGAAAAGTGGCATGCAACGTATGTCAAAACTATACATAAAATTTGTCGCAAATGGGAAAAATCGCAATTCCGTACATGCCGGCATGCCTGATGCCACGATTTCCTTTTGTCCCTGTATCACACTAAATCTAATTACAAGAATACAAGGATGCCGCCGGTAACATTATACGTAATATGCTTACGTAATATGCTTACATATTATACATAATATGCTTACTTTCATTATGTGTGCCTATAAAAAGTAACCACAAATATGGCTATGCAGATCGGTAAAATGCGAAGGATTGACACTTGTCATCGTGAATCAAGTTTTCAACAAAATGTTCGTCTCGTAAAATTAAAAGCTAAAGTTAGCTCCCCATGAGCACAATTTGGGTTACCTGTACTGTGTACTGGGGCCGACCTCAGGCTATAGTATTATGTTGATAAATAGAGATTCGCCGGAATGACACTGACAGGCTTCGAGCGCGGCCCAGTAACAAGTAAAATTTGGGACAACGTAGATTTTGAATTATTCTGAAAAGTGTGATCTTGGGCAAAATTAAACTTAAAGATCGCAGCTTTTTAACTTTGCAAATTAATGTGGTTGCCATGACTCCATGGCTGAATTCAAATTCAAAATTGTTATTCACGGTGTGATTAAAGAACTTTACGTCAAGCTCGCTGACACGCGTGCTATTGAAAAATTACCACCTCTACTTGACTACTTCTAGTAACACTGTCAGCCGGTAACTTTTGCTGGGACTGCAGGTGCGCGCCACTGCAAGCACAAGGGCTCTGAATAGAACAATGACTTAACTTGTTAACCGGCCGTTCTCGAAGTCGAGGTGGCCCTGAATGACTATTCCGATTCGAAACCCTTGTAGTAGTAGCGCGATGCGTTATTATTGATTATATTTATACTTATAGTATAGTAGTAGACTGGGCCACACCGCGCACTCAATTATATTATGCTTCTCGCAACCACTCGCTTACACGCTCGTTTGTTAGTGTTACGTTTGATTTTACACGCTCTAGTGATTTTGATTCTTGACACGTCATGGAGTCTTACCATGACCCCTATTTGAAGATTTCACCGAGATTCTCTCGTGGAAAACCCCCTCAGTCTCTGAAGACCACCTCACGTCAACAAACGCTCGCTGCTGACTCTTTACTTAAAGTTAAAGATAAGTACTGTACGATTACTATGCACTACCGTCGTAGTTGTAGCGCGATGCACTACTGGGTCGCGCGCGCGCATCCAATAATGCTTCTCGCAACCACGTATGCAGATCGGCGAGATGCGAAGGATTGACATCGTGAATCAACCGTCGTAGTAACGATGAATTGGAATTCTCTAATTTTTCT